GATTGATTTAACACACGACGCGACGCATGCCATCTGACTAAAGCAACATTTACTCTTCAGTGTACGGTGTCTCTCATCACCCAGTCATTTAACAGCAGACAACTAAAGCACGCACGCGTAACCTGATATGACATGCTGGAAGGAAAAAAGGCACCTAACCAAGAAGTAGAAATTTACCAGTAGTTGTTTGTGTTGTAAATTAAGCCGAATTAAATACTAGCATTCCATTACAATTTTACAGACGTGTTCCTTTATTAAAACCAGTCTGCAATGAGAGAACACAAGGCAGCCAGTAAAAACTCAAGCTCCTCTGCTCAATACGCCTTTTTATACGTCTTTTTCTATCCAAGGTAAAGACGATCTCATTTGTCTAAATTTAATGCTTTTAACCGTTTCTTTGGCACCTTGAAAACATTTTAAGTTAAACAAATGAATGATTCATTTAACTTTTTATATGGAGTTGAGCCAGATCGGTTCTTTTAAAAGGGGCAATTTATATTGCGAAAGAGATCACCCCCCTCTAATGGGAGAAACCTGTGTACGAATTCGAAAATGTCACCTGCTAATATTCTTTACTATGATACTGGAAATCCCTGCAACTTAAAACATTTATAAACAAGAGGTCATTTTAAACAAGCGAAGTCGACAGTCACTCACAATCCCTGCGGCCATAAATGGTGGAAATGCTTACCGATCTCCTCGTCTCTTCAGCGATTGAGGAAAACTCTGTGAAAATCAATCAAAGGTTGAGGAGAGTGGAGTACGACGTACACACGCGCTCAGAGATGAGGCATCATCTTTTTCAGTTCCGAACGCCTTTCAAAAAATTACGACCAGGCCCCCGTTGTTCAAAAGTTGGATAGTGCTATACGCCGGATAAATCACTATCCAACGGATAAGTGTTAGGGAAACCAATTGGGCTATCCAGTAGATAGTGATTTATTCAGTGGATAGCGTTATCCACTTTTTGAACAACTGGGGCCAGGAAAATACCCGGGGGGGGGGACTCCGCATATGAAAGGGGTGGGGATTTTCGTCGTCTCGCTTAGGGGTGTGAATCTCAGACTTTGGTCTCGCTCGGGGTGTTCTGGGCAAAACGCCATTATATTTAGCCGTAAAAGTCTCTTGTAGGGTTGCACTCGAAGAAATATTAAAAAATTATATATTTTCAATTCGTTTTATTTACTCGATTCATGTAATCAAAGTTTAAAATGATCGCTTTTAGGGCTCAAAAAAAGGCTAGGCCACGCCCATATTGGTCTCCTTTAGGGGTTTAATTCAAAACTTCCGACGAGGATCCCCACCCCTTTGGTATGCAGAGTCCCCCCCCCGGGGAAAATACATGAGTATTTCATAATTTTTACACTGGGCTTTTTAACATTTTTATCCCATTTTTGTCGAGACCCTTGTCTGGGAAACGCTATAGAATTTCAACCGCGGCAAATTTTTTAGCTGAAATTTTCACTAGTAATTCTTATCCGTTGTCGAAGATTTCTTGATTGTGATTTGACGATTTCCACGATTACGTTTAAGGTAAACCCAAAACTGATCTTCAAATCTGTGGCCGTGAGCAGCGGGTTGTTATCAAGCGACTGCGCGCGTGCGCGCGCACAATTCAAGTGCTGTTGTTCACCAGAGCAGTTGACAGTTACTAGTTTTGGTCTCCATCGACTTGACAGGGCTGACTCTTGTTGATATTAGTACTGGTTATGATGTTCTCTGTCACTAACAGTTGAATTCTGGTACAAAATGGACATTAGACGGAAGCTATACTGGATCTGAATATGATTGCTTAAGAAACAAGGAGGAAAAAGTGGGAATACGTGAATAGTGGGACTACGCTTACACCTTTATCCTGAACACATTGCATTTTCGAACGAACTAAATTCCTTTTTATATGAGTTCTCTTAGTTAACGGGACGAGATTTGTTATGAGAAATTTCAGCCCAGCTATCAGGATGTAATTAAGGTACGTAATGGCGTGCAGGAAAGGAGTATAACTAGTCATGTATTTCTCTGATGATTTTCTCTGAAAGTTCTTTCATCATTGCCCAGTTAATGTCAAAATGTAGTCTGAACGGCACGGACTTTTGAACTGAAACTTACTGCGTATTTTGCAATCTTTCATCTCTGTGACCGGGCCAGCGTTCTCGGTTGATGTGATGACACAAGCACATTGCGATTGCTACAAGGCAAAATGGCGAATTGGCGAGTCTTATTTCTGATACCGAGCGGGGCTAACCGAACTTCTGTAGACGATGAGCTTACCTTAAGATCTTATTCTCCTGGAACACACATTTTTGGTACAGCCGAATTGTTGTTTGGCTTTCAGACTTTCTTTTCGCGGCTCCACTGCCAAAACTGATCAACAAGCACTTGCAAGAACTGCCGAAATCAAAGCAGCCACACAACGTAGTACGTACACTTGAAGATTTAAACTTGGAACAAAAAGGCTTTTATCTGAGGAAAGAGTAACCACCACGTCCGTTAGGTTAAAGAATGAGAGGCGTTAAATAACTGTAGTAGGTGTGTTGCGCGTTTTGTGAATTGCTAGTCAGAAATTCGCTGGTTGAGAAAAAATCGCTGTTCATAGAAAAAGGGGAATAATTTTAAAAATAAAGCTTTCAGGTAAATTTCTCCATCGATTTATCCGACCACCACCAAGCCACCAAGTTGTTGGCTGTCGTGTGACACCGGTTTCGCAAGTCCCTATTCAGTTACCTGTAGGACGTTTGTTCATGCATGTTAAGGTGCTATTTGTATCGGCCCTTGGTAAAAGGTTACTGGCTGGTTGAAGAGTGAGATATCCTCTCAGTTTTAAAACCCAGATCAATAATTAAGGACATTGCTGCTAGTGTATTTGTAATTCTCGTAATTCCCATGGGTGCATTGGTGTCAGTATGTGAAGACATCCCTGGCGGCCTCTAATAGTGTATTTCTTTTTGATTTACTTGCAATTAAACTTAACTACGATATACCTTTTCTTTTGAGAAATTATACTGATGTCGTTAATTCAAAAGTTCCTGCAGCGCCGGCTTATCCTTGATAACTTCGATCCGCTTCGCCAATAGTAACGTACCTTGACCGTTTAGAGGGGGTTTTAATCATAAGACAAGCAGCTTGTGACCTGGCCACACAGAAAAAAGTTGGTCTATCTAGTAGAGCAATCAAAAGAAACTGATGTATTTCAAACCTTAATTCATACAACACCATGGAATAGCGCGCATCATGGCCGCCTTTGCTAGAAATTGCAAGTAATAAATATAAAACGTTTGTGATGGAGTGTAAAATAAAATATACAATTTACTTCATTACAGTCAGCAGTAATAAATAAATAACCATGTTGTGTGTTCTGACGCGAAGAGGGTGTGTGTGTTGTTACTTGATGGTTATAAATATTGCCACCTTATGACTGGTAATCTATTCTGTTAAAACATTATCTTAGATCGCTTACTGTGGAAAAACATAAACGTTCGGCTAAAATTTTTTTGCCTTATAAACAGGATTTTGTAGGTGTTTTTGTCCCATAAACTTCACCTTATTTACATCACAGTATTTTATGCCACTTAATTTACACTGAAAATAACATGCGCCATCTTAATGGGATACCCTGCCGTAACTTTTTGTACTTTGTTTCATTTTGTTTCTATTTGAAAAATAAAGACAACTGTTTTATCAGCCTTCCGCTCGACACGCTCAAGGTCACTTTCAAAAAAGAAAACGCTGGCAATTTGTTCTCAATAGTCAGAATTATTATTAGGTCGTTGGTAACTGGTTTTACTTAGGGTTTGTTCACTTAGATAAGGCTGACAGATTATTGTCAGGAGGTGGAGCACAACCTGCTGAACACCGAACATCAGTAGGACATTCTTAACCTAACGCGTGAATCTTTTCTTCATTTAAAAACACATGGCTACTTACTCAGTCTGTTAGGAGACAAAAAAATAAGCACCTCTTGTTCAGGGGTTAAGAACTATGTCAGGTGAGTTGTTCTGCTTCATATATCTTTAGTGTATCAGCAACGACACTCGTTTATAAGATATCAATATTATTGTGTATAAAATAATAATAGGTTAGAAGAGCTTTTTTAATCTCATCTAACAAAACCCACGTGTTGGTCGAAGGTCTTTACTGAGGCAGTTAGAAACGACTTGCATCTAGATAACTAGAATACAACGTAAGCTAGTGCGAAAGAAACAGTTATAGAAAAATATTTGCAAAATCGCTCTGCCAACAAGTGTGTACAATCTGAACAAGACAGTGTAATATTACTTCACATTCGTTCAGTTCCTAATGGAACAAATAAATCTGCTTCATGGTAAAAAAAACTTGAAATTGAAAGGTTTTAGTAATTCTCTTCTCCTCCCATCGAATTTATTCAGATTATTCTAAAATTTTCTAAAGCAATGCTACTAGACGTATGTTGCATATAGTTATTTTTTGTTCTAATAAATTGAACAATTTTAGAAATTTTCGTCTAAGGTCGGGATGTGTCATATTTTGGTTTACCCTTTCTCTCTGTTTTAATTACAAAGAGACACCCCGTGATAAGAGGAAGATTCTAGAGTCGCAAATAATTCAGTGCGACCTCCTTTCTTCAAATGCATTATCACTTGAATGAGTCAGAGGTAACGTTATCTGGTCCGGGGTGCACGGAGCACAGTAAAATCATGATAATTGCCTTGTTCGCTGGTTGCTTGGTTAGCATTAAGACGGTTTTAATTTCTGTTCCGAAATATTCGTTCAGAGTGATGTTACTTTTAATTTTGTTGGCTTCCATTTTTGGTCTCCAAACTACAAAATAAAATTTATGCTCTGGGTTGTAAGTATTTAATAAAATTAGCTCTCAAACACATTTTTTTCACTGTTACAATTATCGAACTCGGTAAGCATGCGTAATACAATAAAAATATGCAGTCCGCAAAATTAAAAGACTGTGACCGCACGTTACCGCTTTTAAATCACTGTGCTGGAAATTGACAAGTTAGATATCTGGCGCGATGAAAAGAAAAATGGTGATACCATTTCGGGGCTGCGAGCACCTGAGTCAGAATTACAAAAGTGCTTACAAAGGTATTTGAATTTAACGGTGACAATTTTTTTTGGAACCTGCAACATATATTGGGACTTAACAAATGATGCGAGTCTGCCCTGGATTCTTGTTAAAATGTGGGTAACCTTTTTCCGAACGCTGAACGGGTAAAAACCAAAGAGCTGACGTAATTTCGCTTGTGGAAGGTTTTTTCTTTTTGCTGGAAAAATTTTGTGTATTAATGTCTACTAGGAAGGCAACTAAGATAGTGATTTCAGCTAGACTGCTGAATTTTTTTGAAGTTAGATAGAGGTTTCATTAAACCAGACAAACACGTCGTAGACTAAAGTATAGTGTTTATTTATAATTTTTCTTCTGAGCTGTTATCGATACTTTATCGCTTTTTAGGCTCAAGAATTAACTGTTTACAGATATGGACGAATTCTGTGAAGAGAACTGAACAAGAAAGAACTACAGAATGGAATAAGTTCAAACAAGTAGAGCTGGATGAAATTCTTTATGGATCCTCAATCAACAAACAAGGTTCAATTCAGAAATGTTTGGAGGGCACAAAGTTGCTAAAAGGTATATTAAACCCTGCTGATACTAGTTTTGTTAAAATCTTCAAAACGAAAGAGTTATAGCAAGTTTCTCGGGTCGCAGTTAAGGTTTTTTCTAGGTTTACTAAAGAAAACAATCCGGTAAACTTGACAGATAAACTATCAGATGAAGTACAATAAGTAAACAACAGTCTAACTATACTGAAGTCCAGAAGGACCAGCTGGGCCGGCTAACATGCATGATTATGTTATTATTGTGTATCAAGTGGGTGTTACCCTGAAAATTTGGAGCAATTTTTTTTAATGAACGAATGTCAAGAGAATTTTTTCATCTTTCTTACGTCTGTACAAGTCTTATTTGGTTATAATTTTTTAAGGCTTATCGTTGGAGATGTTTGATGTAACTGATTTTGTCAGTACTTCCTTGATAAACACTTTTTTCGGATCTTGGGCTTTAAAGAAAGCAAAAAACACTAATTACACACAGGCAATTAAAACTAAAAACTGAAATTCGGTCTTTTACAAGTTCAAAGGACCTAAACAGGTGCAAATGATTGACCATCAGCGCTTCTTTCTGTATCATTAAGCGTCTCTAAAAATTATTGGATTTCTTAGTCCTACAGGAGTGGATGAGAGACAGGAATAACATACTGTATAGATATAGCGTCAAAACAACTCAGAAAACATTTTGAAAGGTGGGAAAACATTATTGGTTGAAGGATACCGCACACTTCTATAACTTACGAGGGAATATTTCAGCTTCATATATGGTATAAAAAATAAACCCTTTTTTCACAGTCGGAATTTATTGATGTACACAAATGAAGACATACCCTTAAGCACCGGGCTGAATGATTTGTTAGATGGCGTATTGTGATTTTTGGGGGAACTTCTTATGACGGTCAATCATGTGTTGTTTTTAATTTTTATTATCCTTGACAGAAGCACTCAGTTAAAACATCGTTTTAAAAAGCATTTGATTTAATCCACAACCATATTCGCGGAGACCTATTAGGGAAGGCATACCCTAACAGTAGTCTTTGTTACTAGGAATTCAGTTATTTGTGATTTTGATCCTTGAATTCAGTACTGGTGTAGACTAAATTTAAGGTTTTTGATCAGTACACATGCAGCTTAGCTTGGGGACTTGTTTACGTCTTCAGTACATACCTTAGCGACAAGGCTCGACCAGTGACTCAGTATGAGTTAGCATTGACTCCTGTTCAGTGCTTTATTTCTTTTAGTACATGAAATGTATGAAATAATACTTCTTTCGACAACAGTTGCCACAAATTGTTCAGGTGATTTAGAGGCAAATAAACATAAGAATATGTTTAATACAATGACTGATATGAACTTTATCCGAGGACTTATTCACAAGTAATCACACTTTTAGGTTACTTTTAACCTTGTTAAAGTCTTAAAGCCAATTAACATATCTTTTATTGATATGTCGTCCATCTAATGATTCTTTTCTTAACTAAATTTGACGGCATTCCTGTGGCTATTTCGATTAACCTGAAGTCAGTAAAGTTTTCTTTTCTACCTATATATTGCTACTTATTATTTGTCGCCGGATTCTTTTTTTCAGTAATGTTCTAGGCTTTTTATTTCAATGTTTCGTTTTAACTCAAATAACAAAGCGCTAAATACCTTAACATTTCAGTCCTGAACTCAACCCATTCTTAAATTAGGGATTGAAATAATATTGCATACATTTATAATGAATCCTGTGACAGTTCGAAAAAGCCGATACAATTTAAACTCAAGTTTATTGGTGAACTTTGTTTGTCATTGAAAAAAAAATTAGCCTGTTTAAGTCCCAGTTCAACATCTTCTCGAAGTTTTATTTGAAATGTTCCTCGGTTAAAAATAAAATTGGGGGCAAAATCGTAAGATAACTTCCTTTCTAATGACTATCCTGGTTTTATCTGATTTAACTGAATAGTTTTAGGACACTGGTTCATTCGAATTTGTGACGGGTATCAACACACGAGAATAAGATTGGCCGTAAACATAGTGATTAATACAAATGTGTCTTGCAAGAAACAGGAGGACACTAATAAAACAGAAATGTGTATAATACAAGGTAGCAACTCATCATTCAATTTAATTAAAGTATCGAATAAATTTGCCATTATATTAGCATCGACATTGACTTTAATTTGGATTGTATATTTTATACGCGCGCTAATTCCTCTAGATCTTATTCGAAAGACAAAACAATTCTAAAAGGTTTAACCATAAGCCCAAAATGTCAATTATGTTGATTTGTGTCGATTATGATCTAGGCATTTTAACTCCGCAATATATGGCTTAGTTCCAAACTTTAACATGATATAATTACTTTTTGTAGAAAATGTAAAATTGGAAAAGTTGCAGGTGCATGGGAACGAATATTATATATTGGCCATGAAAACTCCGGTTCCTTTTTAAAAACAAGATTCATTTTATAGGCGTAGTCTGGCGTTTGTAATGGCGTTCTTATATCCAACTGAGCGCACTTCGCTTAACTTATCAACAGATCCAGTTTCTGCAGGCATTTTAAAGAATCCTTCATACTCTGGGTTCAGTCTTCAAACAGATGCGTCTCCCGCACCCATGTGCTTGCCGCAAGGTGTTCGGCTTGTGAACAAGGGACACCAAGTTGCTGTGGTATGTTCTCGTTCTTTTATCGCCAAGGGAACACGTTTTGGACCTTACCAAGGGAGAGTTGTTCGGCCTTCCCAAGTAAAAGAAGGCCAAAATAATGAATTCCTGTGGGAGGTGAGACTAGTTAAGGAGGCAATTTGTCTTGCTGAAATGATTAATTCTTAGAGATTCTCTAGAGATAGAGAAACAACCTCTAACATTTGTTAATATTGAAGTTTTGGTTTTTGTGCCAGTAATCGGGCACGAAATCCTTGTAAACCAGTAGGAAAGTTTCTTGTCACGTTTTCCTATTCCGAAACGATTTCACGGATTGATATTCTTTAAGGCTGTTTATTACTTGTAATCGGAATACACGTACTTAATTTAAAAGGATAAAAAAATTATACGTTTAGCAATGCTATGTTTAGTAACTATATTTGCGTTTCCTCTTGGGTTATTTCGTGCTAAGGTAAAATTTGGATCAAGTAGGAAAACCTTTGGGCCAAATTGGCCGCAACATACTATTACTTCAATTTTTTTACTGCATTTAATATATCTGGAGTTAACACTAGCCAATTGATGCCAAAATAAAGTGTGAGAGACATGAAACAAACAGAACACTTTATATTGGGAAAACCTGAAATATAGTAAAAACAGGAGACAAAAGAAGCTAAAACTGTGTTTGCTCTCCATTTTCATTAATACAGATTTTTAAAGAAGATGGATGCCTGGCTTATTATATTGATGGCCAAAGAGAGGCACAGAACTGGATGAAACTTGTTAAGTGTGCACGAAACAGTGAAGAGCAAAACCTTGTTTTGGTTCAAGATGGCGACCAGCTGTTTTACGAGTCATGTCGCGATATTTTACATGGAGAAGAACTGTTGGTTTGGTATGGGAACAACTATCACATGTTTATGGGAATTCCAACAGGAATAAAGACTTTCCCAAAAAAGGAAATAAACAACGAAGCTCTGCAAGGTGAGGGGGAGTTGTTTTTAGTTTGAACTCCAGTAATAATTATGTAAAAAGGCGAACTAAGTACGGTTAAAAAAATTTAAAGGACCCATGACGGAATAGTCGAATATGACATTATTGACTTTCTCAAAAACACTGACCGCGCCGTACCTCCAAAATATAATCAGTTTTCTTTATATATTGATACGTGTGATAAACTTATATATTGGGTGCAAAAGGGAGAGGAAGTCTATGCTAATTGAAGAGTATTTCGGATATCTCACGATCTTCAGTTTTCTTTATATATTGATACGTGTGATAAACTTATATATTGGGTGCAAAATGGAGAGGAAGTCTATGCTAATTGAAGAGTATTTCGGATATCTCACGATCTTGAATACTTTCAGACGTAAAATAGAAGCGGGAATTTTTGAAGATTTAATACGTAGTTTTAATGTTCTCCATCTTCTTTGGTCGCTATTATCTCTCTATTCGCTCTAGAATGAGATAAAGGGAATGAGGATCCAAGTGAATAAGCGAGCGTGCCGTGTGCCTTAGGGATTCGTTCATGAAATTTAATCCTTTGCGTGTGTTTCGCAGATTAATTTTCCTTTTTTGCAATTGAGTTTGAACTTTGCCAACTTTCTGCACAGAACTTCTAGATGCGCACAAAACCCGGCACGTGGTATTAAATTTAATTGCAGTTAGTTTCATTGATAGTAAATTAATCACGTATGTTTACATTCCACCATAGGTCTGTTTGGAAGTTTTTCCTGTGAGCGGTGCGGTAAGGTATTTGCCTACAAATATTACCGTGACCGTCACCTTAAATACACGCGCTGTGTTGATCAAGGAGACCGAAAATTCCCCTGCAGCATGTGTGACCGATCATTTGACAAGCGTGATCGTCTTCGCATTCACGTTTTGCATGTACATGAGAAGCATCGTCCTCATCAATGTACAGTGTGCGGCAAACGTTTCTCACAGTCATCCAGCCTCAACAAACATATGAGAGTTCATAGTGGTGAGAGACCTTACAAGTGTCCACACTGTATCAAGGCTTTCACGGCTTCTTCTATTCTGCGCACACACATCCGTCAGCATAGCGGTGAGAAACCCTTCAAGTGTAGGCACTGCGGACGAGCCTTTGCCTCACACGCGGCTCATGACAGTCACGTGCGTCGAACTCACACTAAAGAGAAACCTTGCGTGTGTGAGTATTGTGGAAAAGCATTCGCGCAGTCTTACGAACTTAAGTTCCACATTAACATGCACACTGGAGCCAAGCCCTACACCTGCGAAAAATGTGGCAGAGCGTTTTCAAGTCCATCGTCACGTGATCGTCATCGTGCCAATTTTGACTGCATTACGAGAAAAAATCGTGCACCTAAGGTTATGCGAAAGACATTAATAAACATCTGAATGTCAATCCTTATCATTAGAGCACAAGACAAAAGAAAAAAAAATTTACTTCATTATTGACTTAATTAGTTTCTCGGTTAACTACAAAAAGGTTTTTGTTCCACAATGTCAGAAAAGTTTAGAAAGTCAGTTAGCGGATTAGATCGATGTAAGCAGGGTTGTTAGGTGAGGTTGTCTTTACTGAACTTCTTAAGTGGGAGAGATTACGGATGTGCATACAGATAAGTTAATTTTTGAATATGGAAACGGGAGAGTTAATCTGAAACTCAACATGAGAGGGCTCAGTACTGCCTTAAAGGATGTTCTTTAACAAATCTTCTAACCGCCCGCATTTATTTTGCAGTGTAAGACTTAGAACTTACAGCTTTTTATATCGAGAAAAAGCTAACCAAAGGTATCAGAGTTTTCTAGACAGCAAATGCAAATGCAAATGCTAGTCTTCAATCTCCTGTCATTTGTTCGTTAAAAGCGTTACGTTTGTTTGGTCCTTTGCCATTGCCTTCTTGGTCTTCTACTTACTGCAATAAATAATTAATCAGAATAAAAAACACATGTATTTAATGTAAACAGTTTGTATAATAATGATATCAATAGTAAAAAACAACAACAATCAAATGGAATATGGTCTTTCGTGTGAGCGAAGTCCTGAATGTAGAATGTTGTCAACAACCTGTGCGGCAGTCATCGTCAAAGTGTAAGTCACTCTGTTTCGGGGGCAGAAGCGGAATCATTTGAATCTTGATATTCATGATTCCTGTCATTTTTACCTAAATGATTCATGATTCCAAGAATTTTCTTCCAGGAGGATGATGAAGACAAGGCTAGCGGCTCAACATCACTAGATTGCGAGCAGTCTTTTTTTTCTTTGCAAAGTTACTACACGCGAAACCCAAGCCTACGAGCGGCGAAACTATACGGATTTTAAGAGAAAAGGCGGACTGCCAGCAGTCTCCAACATTACAGCCGATTATCACGATCACCTAGCTAGACTGAGACAAAGTTTTTATCACACCTAGCATTATCTTACCATTGTTAAAGACGCTGGGTAGTGATCGGGCGGTTTGAATTTTCGAAGACCGAAGACCGAAGACCGGCGCTTTTCCAACTGAGCTAACCGGGTCGATTTTATAAAATACTAAGAAAAAGGAATACTTAACCCCTTTACACAACTGAAATAATTTCCCGTCAGAAAACCACTGACATTTATCCAATGCAATTTCAAATGCTAGTTAAATGCGGTTTGACTTCGCCTCACCGAGCCACTGGAGAAATATTTGTCAACGCCTCATTGCAAGGTCATTTTGATTTTTACGATCCGTCTTTTCTTTCGAAAGGCGTAAATAAGCTAACAGCACAAGCCATTGCAGAACCTGTTTACGAGAAATACTTTTGTTAATGATAGATGAAATAAATCATATATGAACTGCGGAAATGAAATGGAAATGAAGAAAAAATTGTTGCAGTGAACGCAATTTATGCAATTGCGTAAAGAAGCCTGAAAAAAATTCAGGACTTCGCGATTACCGGTGCGATGCTCTACCAACTGAGCTATGAAGCCACTGACGTTGGGAGCAGGTAATCCGAACAGATGAAAAATTTTTAGGGGATAAAAAAATACATATATCTACTGTTTAAATAATAAAATACGTTTAACAATGCTATATTTAAGTGGTTTTGAACTTTATTCTCGTTGGTTGCTCTTGATACCATTAAGGCCTTTTATGTTTGTTTGTCGAGGTCACAACTGAGGTCTAAGATTAGCTTGGTGAGAACCTCTCGAACAGTGAAGAGCAATAAAGGATCAATAATTAATGTCTTGGCGCAAAAATGTCAATAAAGTATTAAAAGGCCATACTGTGAGCAAACTTAACAAACATGACTTATAATTCATCTGTCAATGTAAACGACTTTGAAGGACAGTGATTGGTCCATCTGTGAATGACAAGCATAACGTCATTTTTGTCACTATGTCGCCTATAATTACAAAGGAGCGACCTCATTTTACACGCCCAAGGTAACTAACCACATTGCGCTAACAAGATGTTGTCGAGAGGAGGCTCTTTTAAAATTTTTCACCACGCAAATTCTTCAAGCTGTGAACAAAACAAATCGTTTTCAGACGAAAACGATAGACGTATTTTAGATCTTCAGAGGAGAGTGAAGAAAACCGTGTCTCATCTTCAAGTGACAGTTCGACAAATTTGAGGCGGAGAGTTGCTTTTCTGTGCAGCCTCGGTTCCCTCTCGTACCTCGAGCTGTACGTCCTCGGTACACCATCACGTTGATAATGTGCAACCAAGCGGCTTTATAAACTGCCAGGCCCTAAGGTTCATCCCCTCTACCTACAACTGGAGCTATGGGACTCTTCCTTTTTCCTTTCAAGGACCAAGGACTGATTTCTGTTAGGTAAGTAGAAAGAAAACGGATATGGCTTCGCGAAGCAATTTAACATCTTCGTATTCATCCAATTGCAACCTTCACCTAAGTTACTGCTTATAAACGAGAATTTGACATCAGTATTGGTTAACAAACTGCTATAATGGGAAACCGAGTCGTGGGATTACTGAGAAGCAGTTTAAGAGCTACAATACTAGTTGGTTCAGATTCAAGGAAGCTTTTGTTGTTCGCACTTTCATTACCACGCACCATTTCATCCTTTAACAAAAGTACTAGTGGACAGACCAAAATACATTTTTAGTTGTCAAAATCTCAGTGACAATCTTTAAATATTGTTAAATAAGTCCGGAGTTAGAACTTACTTTAAACATAGTTATTAGAGGAGACTGGTTATGAAAAGCGGCAAACATCAATGATAAAAACAACAGTGCTGCAGTTTATGTTGGAAGCACCCTGAAAGTGCACAATCCTTTGTTTTCTGTTGGCAAATTGTTACGGAATAAATTAATGCAACGTTTTTATTGGTCAGTACAATCAAAATGATAGGAATTCTTTTGAACGTTGTGCACTTTCAGGTCCACAAAAACCTATAACAAAGGAGTCTGACGGGTTTCATAACCATTCCACTCAATTAACTATGCTTTAAAGCGCTGAATGAAATCAGTTTTCAATGGTGTTATCCTCGGAAAACTTGCAAGATTATTGATGAATGGTACTTGATGCAATATTGAGAAATATCCAAACAAAACTTCCATCCGAGAAAATCAATACAAACATGATAAGATGGTTTTGATTCAGTTGTGCCGAGTGAGTTTAGATGATATTTGTTCTGTTAGTTCGATGTTTTTCCTTCTATTAGCGTCTCGTCGTTGTTTGAACTTTAGAATGTTTTCTGACAGAGACCCTTTCCTGCTGAACATCGTACAGTTTTTTGTCCTCTTCCCTGTTTTTTGTCATGTTACCGACGACTTTCACTGAGATATCACCCTTAGGAAAATAGTGTTAAAATAGATATGAAAAGACCAACTCGAGTACCCGGCAAGTGGTACAAATTGATGGAATCTTTCTTGATGATAACTTTCTAGGTCTTATGTACTAAGCCGCCGTGAATCACTTTCTTTCAATAATTGTCTTCAAATGCATACCTAAACACTCGCAATTCAGTGGTTTATTCCTAAAAAAAATAAGAATAGCTTTATTTGCCCCATTTAGAGTTCGCAATCTATTCACATCTCTTTGTGTTGCTCTTGTCCGAAACATCGAGGATGATATAATATCTTACAGGACCTGTATGTCAACTTCTTCTTGTTTAAAGGATGAATACTGAGGGGAACTCAATGCATTAATGTCATGTCTTTGTAGTAAGTTATTTCATAAATAGTTTTTCAAACACTGGAGGTTGTTTGGTTTGAAATTTACTTAAACTACTCTAACATTCCTATTGAACTGAGAACGAAACTATGCCAGTTGATGTTCTGAGCTTCGCTTAAAGTTGTTTATAATCAGGTATGTGAGGGCTTCCACCCAATAAAATGTAATTATTTACTTATTCCGTTTGTTTTTCTTTAAAGATCTTTCCAAGGAAGAAAAGACGTCCAATGCGCAAGAGGAAGCATCGTCCTCTGTTTTCGCTACATCAAACCCAAACCATGGAAAAGGAATTCGCCAAACAGCGCCACGTAACAGAGGACAGGCGAGCTCGTCTGGCTTCAGAGGTGAACTTAACAAAAACGCAAGTGGAAATTTGGTTCCAGAATCGACGAACAAAGTGGAAAAAGGCAATAAAAGATGAAGCGAATGCCACAACTCAGGCGCACCTTAAGAGAAATGAAACACGTTTCTCTTGTAACGCAAGGAAATGTTCCTTTTAACCAAAACATTCGATTTGATTCCCTTGTTAATCCGTTCGCAGTTTTGCCGGCACAATATTGTAATGTACCGCTGTTTTCGACTATCAACTTTGAAGGTTCGTATATTGCATAATTTTATCCCTCTCGTATTGTGTGTATTGCTGAAGGTAGCATATCACTTAGTACATTTTCTTTTAGTAGTGGAAAGTCGAAAAATTGTTTATGCTATGTCTTGCAATATAAATCACTGAGTTTAGTCAGAAATGATTAAGTTTGCTGTGTATCTCCGTTAAAATTTTATATCTTATCCAAATACTAAAGAAGCTATGGAATGAAGAAATATTTTCTTCAAACAACTCAAACAGTAATTTTTTGTTGTCTATTGCAATTGCAAAAATAACTATCATAAGAAATTTCTTGACTGGAGAGCCGCTAGCATCATTATTGGCGCTTCGTTAAATTGTTTTAGGACGAAGAAATGTTTAGTTATCCATATTCTCTTGACAATTTATTGGAAAACCATCGTGATAGGGTTTACCTATCCAATAAGACATTTTCACACCTATTTCACACATGGGCACCCCATTCATCTCATGATAAGCCTCTGTTTAATCAAATATGTCTTTTTTAAGGAACTGTACCCAGATTACAGATTACAGATTTTTTAAACGTAAATAAAGTATTAGAGAAAACCGTTGAGTAAGTGACGAGTACTTGGACAATCCGCTATAAAGAGAGATTAGAATTGGCCAGTTCAGTTATTTAATATAATTCTTAACAGGTGTTGCTGTGCCGAACCGGTGCCTTAATGTACACATCATCAAATTTCTTGGAAAATATAGCAGAAAAATAAAACGGCTATCTTTTTTAAATTTCTCGTTGATGTGTTTCTTTTCCAAGGATTCTCTGGATAGAGTTACCTTCATCTGAAATACTATTTTCTAGACTGACACTTTCAAAAACTTTCAAAACAAAACAAAACCATTAAAGTGGTAAACATATAGTGGTATAGTTTATAGTGACTTCTTTACTTACCTATTAACTCGAACCAGCGCTAACATGTTTCTACACTTGTTTATCAGTTTATGGAAAGACCGAAATTTCGCGCAGATTTTCCAGCCTACATTTATTTAACTATTGGAACGAAGCCAGTAGTTAAACCAATGATAAACATGTTTACGTAGATATCGTTATTGTCTAACCGTCTCTATTTACTTGAATAGTTTTTTTTCACATCAAAAGAAAACTTCGTCATGCCGACGTGCAGTGTGGCGACAGAGAACCAAATGCTAAAATGAAAAGAAGAAAAAATACCTTACTTTCATGTTAAACCAGTTAAAATAGAGTGTTGTAAAGTGTTGTATCTGTTTGCCCAAGAACGAGTGACAAGATGACTACACATTATAAATACAATTTTTAGGAGGGTTTAAATTCTTTTTTTTTCCCTTTTTATAACTTTTCACTTTCAAGTTCCTTCTATTTTCATCACGTCATACATAGAAAGGCCTTGTGGTCAGGCCACCATAGGCCGCCGCCTAAGACGCTGGCTTTTTTCGTAATGCAGTTTGTAATCAACTAGCAGCGAAATAAAACATCATTGACAAAGTCAATACGCCAATATTCACAAGACCTCATTTATTCGTGAATTAAGCCGGAACTGTGCTACAGTTGTGTACCTTTTATTCGAAAGGCCATCGAAGTTGACAGACCACCTGGTTTTAAAAATTCTTCTTACAGTTTGATAATACGTCTCCTTGTTCTTTTCTTTCGTTGTTTTGAAAAAAAAATTACTTACAAACCAATTTTTTTTCTCCGTGTCGTCTAAAAGGATTAAAAGAAGTTTTGTAATCCAAGAAAAGGATGTGGAAGCTCATATTTGAATGGGCAATTTTCTTAGAATGCTTCTTAGAAGCAGCTACGCCAGATTTCTAGCCAAACATTAAGCTTCTTAACTCAGTAACAATTTATGAGAAGGTCCCATCTTTTACTGAAGAAACTGTATCCGTTAGGGAGTAAAAATCTTATGAAGGTTTGTGAAATTGTTGTGGAATCTATTGGTGAAACATTTGTGAAACTTAACAAAAAATTTTACCAAACGAGAAGGCGAAATGACAAATCCTTTAGTTTGAGACACTAAGCCCCAAGGAAAGAGGGGAAGGGAATTAAAACAGTATATTCTGCATCAGATTAAAAAGATGCTAAAAGGCTTAATTAGTATCAGACAAATTATGTCCGATTGATACCCTTCTTAAGTATTCCGATCGAGTGTCTGTTTTTACTTATCAGGACTTCCATCTTGAAATCGCAAAAATTCCAGAATTTCCGACATATATAAATCACATTTCAGTCACTTTTATTTAACAACGTCAACAACAACAACAAGAGGAAAAAAAATGAAAATGATGAGAAATTTCACTCCGGTAAATAGCTACACCACATTGCTCAAAGTTTTAAAGTAGGTGTCCACATACACCAGAAAAGATGAGCTCGCATTACGGTGGGGAAGACAAACAAATGCAATTGAAAAGGGAGCTAATAAAGAAAAATCTTTCTTTTTTAGCCCCCGTTGAAGGTTTATGTTGGAAACGGAAATATCGGGCAAATATACTTCACCATTTTATTTTGTTTTCTTTCTTAATTTTTTCTGTCAGTCTTCCTGTCGTAAGGATCAGTTTACTGTTTTAATTTTAAATTCTCTGTGGCATTAAAGGAAGGGTAGTCTTTTGAAGGGAGAACGTAAATTATTCATGTATAATGAGTTATATGGGATTTTTGAGCCTGGTTCTGGAAGGAGGAGGGGGGGGGGGAAGGGTGTCCTGATCCCGCATTCCCGCTCCTTCTTCACGAAAATCCCGCAACCTACTATTTTTGCACCCCTTTCTCGAATTCCTCTTTTCTTTCCAAAACAGTAAAATAAAACTGACACACTCTATAGTTTGGTTTGAAAAGCTGAAAAGGGACTGCACTTAACACACGCCTGGTCGATAAGCATTTGCTGCCGTCAAACGTATGATTTCCCGAATTCCCAACATACAGGCCAAAAAAAAACAACAACCCGCATCCCGTGCTTACATTTTGGGGAATTACACTTCCCGGGTAGCTGTACAATCCCGGATCCCAAAAAAATACCTTTCAAGACCCTGTTGAATAACTAAGATCTTTAACCGTTGAGCAAGTATAAGAAACCAAGTACATGAGGCAGTGATGAAGAGATCGACGTTTGAATCAATAAAGTTCCACATGTCTAAGATCTTAAACGTCGAACTTCTCGAACCTAATGCATAAATTACTAGAACTTATTTTTCCTTATAAGCATTGAACATCGTGAAAATGGATTAAGTGTGACTAATAAATTTCGACGTCTGAATCAACCGTCGAACTTGTATCATTTGGGTCGACCTAAAAAGGTATTAATTAAGTTCGGTACATAAAAAGATCGACTGGCGTTTGAACTGGGGCTAAGATTCATCCAGTAGTTCTCCCACATTCTCCTCTGCTGGGTACAAAGGGGGATGGGGGGAAGACCTTTATTCATTACATCAAAAGAGCCTAATCAGAAGCTTTAAAAGCAACTGCTATTAACTAGAGCCCTGATTTTACCCGAATCACCAAACAGTTCTACTAAGTCTACGCAGTCAGGGTTTAACAATTAAAGGGTATCAATTGAATCTTAATGAAAAGAAAGAAAATAAAACATCGGTATCGAAAACAAATTAAATTGATTGTAATAAATGGACCGGAGTGAGTGAAATTCAGGAGTGAGTGAAATTCAGTACTTCAACGGGGTAATGAGCGAAGAATTAAAGGCGCTTTCATTGAAATGGTAAAACTTAACAACAAAGCTAGGAATTTTTTTTTCTACCCTGTGGACAGGCTCTCAGAGTGAAGCTAAAACGTCTGTGAGCGTTGTTTCGTTTAAATAAATCTTTCAACCTTTTTGCGTTTTTCTAGCTTAAAATCGTTTGAAATATACCGACAACAAACCCTAATCCAATCTGATGACCAATCACTGTTTATAACAACAACCGGTACCGTGTATCTCTCCTCCCAGGCTTCTGGAAGGTCTTAGAGAAAATAAATTTTTCCTCCGCGAAAAACGCTTACTCCGTGATCAGTAATCAATATGCCCCCGTCAGAAAGAGCCATTCTCGTCGATGTATGGGTAGTACAAGTCGTGGTCATGTCAGATGCCATCATGGAGGGGCGGGAAGCCGAATACCAAGTTCGTACAAAAACAGGTTCGACAAACGTGTTCTATGAAATCATGCCTCTTGCTTTTTCAGAAGTCAGTTGATCAAGGTTCATCTTGAGTTTAGTTTTTGGTAAAAGTGCGGTGTCATTTTGCTTTGAGGTGATGTAACAGTAAAAAGGTAAAAAAAAAAGAACAAACTGGCTAAAAAAAACAAAAACAAACAAACAAACAAACAAAACCAGCATTTAACACACGGGAACGTTTAACAGTCATTTGTAGCTTCGACTGGTAGGCAAGGACTGATAAATACGTTACAAGAGTAGTCATTTTTTTTCCGCTTTTCCAATTGCTCGAGCAGAAAGCAAAGTCAAACCTGGCTGTGAAAACTGTAAACAGGTAATTTAACCCTAGATTTCCCAGAATAAGCTACTAGCCGCGATTTAAAACTGGAACGTAAATTTGGAGTTTATTGCACATAGAAGGGTTTGGCAAGCGCGCGGAAATAGAAATGGCAGGAACTGACTAACTGGACCCAGTTGCTCGAAGCATGGTTAGCGTTGACCATGCAGCGTTTAATACTTGACAACGTATTGGTTTTGATACTGCTTAACCAATGGTTAAAGCTAACCATGCTTTGAGCAACTCTGAGCCCTGGATGCCGGGGGCTATGGACGCGCACGCTGAACCCTTCGAGATTAAAATTGTCACTTGTCCTCACGTTTAGCGCGGTAGAACTGACTGAGAGGTTTTCTGTCGTTTATATATGTAAAAAAAGGTAAGCGTGCCTTTGACGTGAAAAAATACCCAAAACGGTTATATAACTTCCATCTATGATATCAAAAAATGATAGAATTTCAAACGTTTAATTTCAGCCATAATAAGCAAATTTGCAAAAAATTTTAACTAAATAATATGTTTCAAACTGGAAGCTCTAATATCGAAAACAAGCGGGTTGCAATAAGCAAAAGCGTTATTGACTACCAAAACAGACTGATACAGTTACAGCCGAGTGAAATGAACAGTTCCCTGCCACCTGATTTTCATGTGACCGTTTTACAAATTTGATCAGTGTGACAGGCTTTTCCTCCAAGCTCCACTCTTGCGCAGGACATCTAAGTGCCGTGTGCTGATTAAAGCACAGGTAGCCAAGCTTGAAATACAGTAACACTCTGGTAACTCGAACTCTGAAGGGAAACGAAAAACAGTTCGAGTAGCGGTGAATTCGACTTATCGAGGTAAATTTCAGTGAAATTTTGATCAGTTTTTGATTAGTTAATACGTAAATCCCCCGTGTGCTGTAAAATGGCGACAAGGATAAAGAAATCAAAAGCCATGGCCAATGATGACTACTCATAACATTCTGTTAGGTATCGCGAACAGTTTTCCTATTGTCAGGCCAAACTGTGCAGACCTGAGAATTTGCTGGGGCTACTCAGTCGCCACCAACAAGTTTTCATTTTTAAAGGAATACCCAGTGACAACTATAGAACAGCTACAGGCTAATTTGTCTGAAGGGAAGGAATTTACCAAAATTGACCTCCCGCATTCATATCATTAACAGGTGCTTACGTCAGAGAGCCGACCGTGGTTACAAACGCATGACTTATGAAGTCAGTAGCGCTGTTTCTAACATTCAACGCACCATTGAAAACGTCCTTTAAGACATACCGGACTGGCGAATCCGCATGAAGACATTTAGGTATCGGGAGAATAGAGAAACTGATGAAATCCTTCTGGACAACCTCTGTAACGTATTATGGCGATTTGATACCAGGAATTTGTGCTTACAGATCGTGATTTGGAGATGAAGTTGAATACCCTCAGTGGCTGATCCTTACCATTTCTTCTGGTGGATGTTCACCTCCTTTTGAGAAGGTGCAGGCCATAAAGGATGCATCATCCGCCTCTCAAAAGTGTTCTTCAGAATGTTACCCTCAAAAGGACAGTTGTCTTTGTTTCAAATAAACGAAAACCCTTAAGAAAAATTTGTCGGTGGGCTGTGCATATTCTTGCCTCTGATCTTAACGTTCTCTTGTAACCAGACCAAGCAACGCGGCTATCCTCAAGCAGTGGAGCCGTGTCCGTTTAATATCGAAGCGTATGATATCCTAAAATATGGGTCATTCTCTGGTGACTGCAATCTATTCTATGGTCATTTAAAGAAGTGGTGTGAAGGGAGGGGGATGGGGGATCTTATCTGAAGCGGGTGATTATAAAATATTTTTGACCTAAACCCGATGGGCGGTAATTAGGAGGTGGCGCTCATTTGAGCATTTTCGGTAACTTTTACTTTTGAAAATCTGATTATGGGAGTTTAAAAAATATATTTTTCTTTAACTGATCTATGTCATACTAGCCAGGGGACTATTTTCTTACTGTTTTTGAGTTTAAGCTTGAAGGAAAACTCTTCTTCTGAGAGATTTTTTTTTTTCTCAGTTCCAGTTTGCGCGAGACTGTCCATGCACCTTCGCGGGCTCCATGATCATCGTTTTCACCTTTTCCCATCTCCTCTTCTCCTCGTTTCTCGGACGTCCAATCAGAGTCCTCTTCCTGGGGATCATGGAACGTAAGCAGATATATCCCTGCTTACTCTAGCTTCAGACACCCGTAAATGTATTGAGGAGGCTAAATTTGTGGTTGGCTTGGCAATTAAAATAAAACAGCGCTAGACTCTGAATTATGTTCTAGCATTGATGTAAACCGTGCAGTGCTTTACAAAAGAGAAACAACACGCTAACAAAAGTTAAAAGAGAGTGACTGAAATCACGTGAGAAGCTGATTGTTAAAGGTGATGCGTCTACGACGCCGCTGTTATGGAAAAGTGGAAGCTTGGACAGGATCTTGCTATATCTAACGGAGCAGTTAATACAAAAACCAGTAAAAGAGGTAGAAATGGAAAATGTGTTAATTCATAATAAAACACTGGGCTAGGCCGTTGATTTCAATGTGCTTTCTATTTTTTCATTGAATACTTTAGTCCCATATACAGACGGAGAGAAACTTTGTCTTTGGATAGAATGTTGGAAATGGAAACAATAAAGGGACTTGTGTGAAACCTAATAGAGAACGCTTTTTTGTTTTCAGTTTGTTAGTCATCTTAACCCATTTTTATTGTAAGCTGAATCCATTTAGTGGTGAGCTTTCTAATTGCAATTCAGAGTCAGAGAGGATTGTTTTCAATACATGTAGTGCATAGAATGACTCATCCACAGACTTTTCAAGACACAGACCCATTAGATCTATGGTTTCCGACTAAATTATTTACGGTATGTTGTCGCCTTAGTTGGTGCCGATTATTACCTACCATATATATCTGAAAGGGGAAATAAAAAAAGTAAATGAAAATCTTACAAGTTCGGTTTTGTAGGTAATAGGAAGCGCAAGGTCTGATCTCGGGTTTGAGCTTGTGGTTATATTCAAAGACATTCTATTTCATTCCTTCACTACAGGGCTTAGCGATAAAGAGAGGCCACTGAAGCTAGACGATAGCATGCTTGCTCTCTAAACCTTAAATCATATTTTAAAGGGGGTGGGAGTTGTCAACGGGTAAGTTCTTTTTTTTTCAGTTAGGCCCAGGTCAAGCGGCGTACTTCACACGAGCCGAACTCAATTCAAATTATGTGGGTTAATTGACTGCTGAATAGATTTCGGCTTGTATGAAGTTGGCTAGCACTAGCACGCCTATTGACCCGGGCCCTTATGGTGTTTTAATTTAATTCTCCTTTTACGACAACGCTATCGGTGGCTATAAAGGGAGCCTAAAGTAACTGACAGAATAAGATTGATAACTGACATCGCAATTCCTTACAATTAATTTTAATCAAATTACATGTTTTGCAAGGGTAAAATATAGACTGGACTATCGGAGCCTATTTAGCTTGACGGGTACCTTTCTATCTTAATAGTACAAAGTAATTTATAATGATTTTGCCGTTAATGGCTGGTTGTAATTGTAACAGTTCCACAATGCAGACTTGACTTAGCTACATTATTTTCCGTATATAAGTAACCCTATTGTCTGAGGGCATAGCCGGCTCTCGAAAGCCTGTACACTCAGTGAGGGAGCGTAACAAAAATACCATTTTTCATCGGGTGGGTGGCGATTGGCGCATTTGAGAATGACAAACACATGCGACGCCAACAAGGACCCTCACAGAAGAGCCACCTCATTTTACACGCCCAAGGTTAACACTCACATTGGACCAACAAGATGTCGTCGACAGGATGGACGTTTCCAGTCTTTCGTCACGTTACTCCTTTAAGATCTGAACCAAATAAATTGTTTTCAATAAGAAATATTTTAGATCTTTCAGAAGAGGGCCAAGAAGGATGTGTTCCATCTTCAAGTAAAATCTCTCAGGGCTGCAATTGTTGCTTCCTGCAGTCTGGGTTCTCGATTCAAGTTCCTGGCGTTCTACCGGCTCCTCCTCTGCACCCAGATCATTTGAATAATATGCCTTTTAGTGGCTTTATGAACTGGCAATATTTTGGATTCACTCCTTCTGTTTATAAGTGGGGCTATGGAACTCCTCTTGTGAAGGAAAAAGCATTTCTACATGGTGAGTAAAATGCTGCCGTGCAAGTCTAGTTATCCATTGAAAAATGAAGGTATGAAAACACTGATCTATCCGTAATCGTATCATACTTTACCCTTCTCTTTAAAACTAGCCAGGTTTAACTGATTTACATGAGCTTAACTCGGATTGATTTATGGAACTTCTAAATGAAGATCCAAAGGGTGATTATTAGCGATAGTCTTCAGCCGTCGGTTTAAAGCATAAACTGAGCCGGAAAATATCACGATGTTACTGTCGATAAAAATATCACTTGTGGAAGTTGGAACAACAGGAAATTGAATAATTTCTGCTAACACTAATCAGTTACTCTGATACCTTAAACACGTATCAACTTGAATTTTCACAGGCTTGGTCTGTTTGAGTGAAGTATTTTTGTTTTTGATATAAGCTTGCCGCGCACAGGATACAGGTCTTTTTAGTAGATTGACATCGATGGATGCTCTTCGTTGCGTTTTAATTTCTCCGTAGCTCTCTTTGCTTTGTCATAAATATGATGAAAAATACATGTGTCTCTAAAGTGTCTGGGAAAACTGAACTAATTTCTCTGGAAAAAGGGTGTCATACACATAAATTGATCATGAATTCTAGCTTCGGTCTAGCTTGTAGATAACTTGCCTTGGCTTAAGCTTTTTCTCACTAGTAACCTTTGTTTTTTTTTATTTTGCTATTCATGCATTACAGTAAAACCCCGCGTATAAGAACCTGGGTTTTAAAGAACCTGTTAGGCTAAAATTTTCATTTTAAGCCCCCTCCACATAAGAACCTATTAAGGCTAAATCTTATCAGTGGAACTGGTTATGAATGTACCGTATTTGTCCAAAGATTTCAGTTCTTGGTATCAACTTTGAAAAGACAGAGAACTGACTATGACTTTGTTTGTTATGTTTTGTTAAGGACATACCTGCTCTGTACTGCCTTTAGGCATTACTGTTCGGTATAAATGATTCATATTGTATTATGAGATGATGTTTATAATATATTTAAATGAAATTCATGTGAAAATATAAGAACCTATTTTAAGAACCTTGGTAGTTTAAATTTGCTTTAAGTACCACTTATATAAGAACCTGTCAAGGCTAAATAAAAAAAATGCAGAATTTTAAGAATCTTGGTAGTTTAAATTTGCTTTAAGTACCACTTATATAAGAACCTGTCAAGGCTAAATAAAAAAAATGCAGGTTCTTATACGCGGAGTTTTACTGTATATTCTCTACAGTCTACCATGTATAATCGCAACGAATTACTGATTTCCTTGAAGGTTACATTAATTCTTAGTTTACATGATGAGAAGTCACAGTTTACATCTTTACCTGAACTATACATGTAAGTCAATTTTTCTGCTAGTTTTGAAATTACAGAATTGGTATGGGACAAGTTTCTATTTGCGCCACACTTTTGATGTTTATTTCTTGCCTTAAAAGTCGCTTCAACTCAGCATACTCCCTTGTATGTGATCAACTGAAAACCTCCTAAAACACTTGCTACTTATAAGTATCCCTTTAACATTGCTAATTTTTCTAAAAGAGCCTCCTTCAATTCACAGTTTATTGTTATCAAAATCTCCTGATCATTCCATAACATGATTTCTACCTTTAGGAGCTTCCCGAAAGAAGAATAAGCGTTCCTTGTGTAAGAAGAAGCAGCGTCCCTTGTTTTCGCCATACCAAATCCAAATCATGGAAACGGAATTCTCGAAACAGCGCTACATAACGGAAGAAAAGCGAGCTCATCTTGCTCTGAAAGTAAACTTGACGGAAACTCAAGTGACCACTTGGTTCCAGAATAGACGAACAAAGTGGAAAAAGGATAAACGAAATGAAGGGAAGAGTTCTCCGGGTGGAAAGTTCACGACATACTTGGGGACAAAGTTTGACAAATTCCTCCTACCACAGAATTTGCCTCGATTCTCTCGTTGAACATTTTGGATTCTTACCAGAATATTTAGCGGCACCAATGTTTTTAAGTTTTGCCAGTTACGTTTCCTTTAACACAAACAAGGTGCGATAATAATACAGCAGTACCTTAAAGTACTTCACTGGACCAGTTCATTGGGCGTATCTCAGTAGCCCAAATTAAAGAGGTCAAGGTCTGGATTTGTCCATTTGTTTTCCGTTTTTTCTTTTCTGGTAAAAGCTAGGAGAGGGTATTTCAAGTTTCTTGTGCCAGAAATCCCGTTCATACAACTGCTACATGTATCATATATCAAACCAAATTATCCAAAGTTCATCCTTATCTAGCGCCTGTTCTTTCTTGAATGAGATATACTGTAAGCAACACCCAGTTCCTCTAGTACTAATACGATTTGCTACCAGGTTCTAGCTAGGTTCTGATACGGGTCTATCCAAAAAATCATTTTTCGAGGAAACTGTGCTCCCAGAAAGGTGTGAAAACAGCTGTTAAATGGGTGTCAAATACTTCGACAGTGGACATCGCCGGGACAAAGGAAGATCAGCACTGCATACAGGCGAAAATTGAACATAATGATATTATGGTAATTGTTTATATGCATACTATGTATAAACATTTTTTTAAAAAAATTAAAGTTAATACCTTTCAGTTATCCAGACACCCAGAAGTGCGCTAGAAAAAAAGCAAGACGCAGCCAATATCGCATTATAACACGGTTCTCAAATAAACCTGAAAAATCCTTGAACAAAATGAAAGCTAAAGTTTGCAAAACTTTGGAAATTAAGAGCCTTCTTTATTGTTGTGATCGACCTCCGTTCTTTTGTACGCGCAATTCTAAATGCTGGGTGAGAATCAATTACATAATAATCTGTCGGGTTCGAATAAATAAACTTACTGATCAAATGTGTTGTTTTCCTCAGTTTTGATGATAGATCGGCCAAGGTATTCAATCGTCACGATTCGCCAAGAAAATAAATGCTCGATAACGGAACATCCATCAGTTTGCCAAGCATTGAGCCAGCATTTTAGATAACATTTCGTATTTGCTGAGTAAACTAGGTATGCTCCTGATAGCATATGTTACCTAGTATTCGGGCGTTGCAGACGTTGTACACCTATAGGTGAAGGAGGGCAGAGCGTCTTTCTCATGAACGTGTGCCATGCTCAATTTTGAAATGTTGCCAGCTCACGTCTCTTTCACTTATTCTTATGTAACCGACGAAATTACATTATTTGCAATTTTCTACAAATGTTTTATAGGTAAAGAGCTATCTGAGTTCTATTTTCGCTGCATCAGTACTGTAATTCAAAAGAGTGCATTTTTCATTGAACGATATGGCGTTTTTTCCGGGGGGGGTTGCTGGGTATGTGCCGCTGGCCTCTCAGAAACCCTTTCTTGGTGGCCATATCATAGACCCTATCTTAGTCACTTTTGGAAAAAAGTAATTTTCGCAATCCCAACTTAGTCACTTTATGTTTATGCATCTACCTTATAAATCCTTTTAACTTGGTCATTCTGAAATGAACTGGCACTAATGTGCAGTAAATCTATCTATTTTTAAATCCAAACATACCTGAATTTTCTGACCCACAAAATCCTGAAAATGTGGAACTCATTCTAGTCACTCTTGTAAAAATGCAACCCCATAATAGTCAATCCAGTCGTGAAAATGCGACCCTATCCAGGGGCACATTCCCATTAGCCTACCTCTAGGAAGTACCCCCCGGGGTTTTTGGTGTCAGGAATTTTAAGTTTCCAGCTTTCTTGCAATTAGTGTTTGAAGCCACGCCGGCGGGAAAACATGATTGCATTCACTTCCGGCATTTTCCGACTTGTTCAGTTTATTTAAAACCATGTTAACTACAACGTAAAGTGAGCCGTTGTGTAACCTTGATGTCACCTGAACTAAAAAAAAAAAAATGACAGTACAATGAATCAAGGTCTGTTTTTAGAGAATGCCAACTCAAGCTGAGAAAATGGCAAAATACACAGTGCTGCAAAACGCTGACTCTTTAATCGATACACAATCTTGAGGCTCTTGTTGCGGCATAAGTTGATGAAAATAACGCAGCCAAAGATGGTTACCAGATAGGTCTGAAGGGAACAGGTTACAATCTATTTAATTAAGATAGAGGTCATCAACAAAAATTATGGTAATGTAATTAATCGTCCACAAAACAACACAAAACATGTTCGTTTTCACTCGATACTTACTATTAGAGAAAAAAAAAACATTTTTACGACGATGTCTTCCCTTCAAGCACTAAGACGTTTATTCCACATTTTCGCAATGAATGTTCCTTTTTCATGACAGCTCGTGTCTTATTTGTTACGATTGATTCAATCTTGTCCAAAGGTTATCTCTTAATAAAGTGCATACCTTTGCTCACTTTATCTTCTCCTTCTCAGATTGTTATACTCTGCTTTCGTTCTGGCTGTGTTAGTAACTTAGACTACACCTATCATCAAGACTAGAAACTGAGTTGTAATTTCTCAGTCTCTGACTACCATACGTATGGTAGCATTGCTAGCCACTACAAAAGTCTAATTTACTAAACACTGACTTTTTTGTTGCACGATAACCTTAAATCAAATCATAACAAGGTATCAGGATTTCTCATTTAGAAGGGAGACAAAATTGAAAGAAAGGGCGTGGGCTGACTAAATCGCGATAACTTGTAACAGTTTTACACAAAGACCAATACTACTCCAGAATCCGTGAAATGATTTTTTTTTCATCCCTGAAAGAATCTCACCTTTTTTACCTCTAAATTGAATGCTGTCTTCAACACAGTATAGCATCATACTCTAAACGATAAAGGAATAGGTTAAAATATTAGTTTTCAGCCCTGAACCCCCTACCCCCTATTCCCCTCGACCCCTAAGTGAGACTTCATTTTTCATATCATGTCATACCAGTGATTTAATCCGGAAAAGTGCTACCTATCAAATGTTGACAGACCACCCGGCTAGTATACTGTCCAATTTATAGCCTTTTGTCACATTATTCTTACCTGTTTATAATCTAGTTTATCAAGTAATTTAATTTGAATGTTTCCATTGAAATGCAAAGATAGCCTGCAAAACTCCTACAATCCTAATTTATATATGGGCAACTCAATTCAATATTTTCAAATGATTATTTTTTTGGTACACAAGAGAAAAAAGGAAACGGATGATTGTCTATTATAGTTGCCTCGTGTCGGCGGGTCAAACCGAAAATATCTCAGAAACAAGAAACTGAAGTAACTAAAGAAAGGTATAAAAGCGAGAAAAATTAGTGTTAACTTGACATAAAAAAACTTTTATTAACTTGCAGTTACTGCTCTTCTTTCTCTTTCTTTCTTTTTTTTTTAGGCATCACTGCAATAGTCAAACTGCTCAAACGCTCTGTCGTTCCAATGTCTACTGTCCACGGTCCACACCAACCTCGTTTCCAGGTCCTCCCTCTTTCTCCCTTGAGAAACATTAAGAGAGAAGACCAATACTACTCCAGAATCCGTGAAATGATTTTTTTTCATCCCTGAAAGAATCTCACCTTTTTTACCTCTAAATTGAATGCTGTCTTCAACACAGTATAGCATCATACTCTAAACGATAAAGGAATAGGTTAAAATATTAGCTTTCAGCCCTGAACCCCCTACCCCCTATTCCCCTCGACCCCTAAGTGAGGCTAAAATCATAATTTATTCAATACGGGAGGCACCCCTTGTCCCTATTGCGAGTCCCTCGGTTATTTAACCACTTTAAATCCATTGCACCAGTGATACAAATAATCTAATGCTAGAATTCAGGTATTTCAGACAACTGTAACTCATGTTTTTAATTGAGCCGTGTGCACAATAACATATATTGACCTTGGATGATCTCTCGCTTATTAGCTGAAATACTTAACGGCATGAAATTAAAATTTACTGCTTTAATTTTATCCAGTCCAATATGTGATGCTTTGAAAATCCCCGTCCCCCCTTGAGGGGTGAAGAGGGGTGAGGATGTCGAAGGACTTTTGTCGCCACATGATAAAAATTTTTAGCATTTTACTTCCAGAAGTGGTCAAAGTCACTTTTAAAAAAATATTCACCTTGTAAAATGCTACAATTGTACTTCTTGAAATTACTCCTGAAAAGAAATTTTTCGAACTGGTAACAGCACAGCATTTCGTGGCGTGCAATCATTGCTACCCTTCCAGGCAGTTTTGCGGTCAGTACCTTTAGAACCTGGGGGAGGGGGTACTCAACAAATGTTTATGCGGGGAGGCTCCGTCCTGAGGCCCAACCCCTTACCCTTTAAGGTGATTCCCTGGTTTTGCACTGCGCATCTCTTACTGCGCATAACAAGATAGCCGCCGTAAAACAGAGCATGTGAAATAACATTATTAAAATGAAGTTGACTGAAGAGAAACGCTATTAGAATTTTTGCTTACGGTTGTCTCTTGCCGAGGTGAGACTCAATGTGTTGGGAATGTGCATAACGTAGGCAGTACGCGTGTTGCTGAGTTCGACTTCCTCACGGAGAACCTCGATAGTGGATGTTTAACTTGTGCTTACTCACTTTGATTTTTATTTAAACGCTTTCTTTATCACATTGTATCCTAAATGTGATATCTCGATGTAAATTCTGTAAAAACAGATTTTTTAATACTTTCTTTCCCCTTTCACATACATTCTATTTTGAAACTCGCCCCAGTCCTCTCTCAAAACTCGGAGAAAATGCATTTGATGCGCACTTTCTGCAGCTCTACCGCAAAAACGAGTACGGTGACCCCCATTTTTATTTCATGATTTTAATAAGGACAGTGCTTCCTTTCGATGAGAAAAAAATTGGCACAAATCTATGTTCAGTTTTTTGGCAATTTTACTAAATTGTGCGGATTGAGCTATCACGGGTCGAATAGCGCGTGTCCAATTCAATTCTACTTTAGAGCGTAAAATAAAAACAGGAGCATTAAAAGGTATTTTTCTGGTATGTAAGTGGATAAACAATACAATAAAGTCAAATTCTGTGCGATACCACATGCATCATCGAAAAAATGTCTCGTTTTTGTCTAGTTTTGGGCTGCGCGCGGTTTTTGACAAAGGGTCCAAAATAGCCGTATTTTTCAGCATTGTGACGTCAAAACGTGCACGGTGACCCCCATTTTTTATTACTTTTTTATCATCTTCTCGAATTGTTACATCAGTGTACCAAGTTTCATCTACAATCTATGTTAGGTTCTTTCACTAGGGAATCACCTTAATACACCATTTTTCACAAAAAATGCACTTCTTTCGTATACCTTCTATTGACAAATGGTACCCCTTTCACATACCTTGTTTAGAACTCTGCATTCCTTTTAACTGGTGTAAATACACTTTTAAATAGGAGTCAACCACAAAAATAGAACGTTTTCTCGACTTTTTAAAGCTATAAATTCATCTGTAGCCCTTTTGGGCCCTTTTACAGACCCAGACAGATTTTTCTACCCTTTTATGTACTTCAGCTACTGAAATCTGTGCCCCTTCATATACCGGAATCCTGAAAAAGGTACCCCTTTCGGGTGAAGCCTCTCCGTATGCCCGTATAGGCCATCATAGGGAGTACCCGATCCCCCGGGCTGTAGAAGTTCTACAGGCCAGTAGTCAGTTCTTGTTTTTAAAAATAAAGTTCAGTTGCATTACTCTTAGCATTTCTAGTTGCTGCTCTCAATAAGGATATGATCCAAATGTCCTTGTAGGTGCACTACTCATTTAGTTTCCCTCGCTCATCATCAGCTTCCAACGTATTTCCTGATATTAAACAAAAGAAGCAAGGCTGATTTTACAGTCGGTAATACATATATATATTTTACCAATATTTCGAAAGGCATGGCCTTCCTCCTTCAGGGTCTTGCATACAATGATGAGGTTAAGCTAAGACGTTACAATTTGAAATAAAGAATAGCGTGCAATATGATACTATGATAACATGTAAAGCATGAGAAAATAAAAACCGTTGAAGCAATGATATGAAAGAAATTTGAAATGTAAAAATAGTATTAATAGATAATTACAAACTGAAGAAATAAAGAATTTATTACATTTCATCTTTCTTATTGATACCAAGAGGACCAAGAGAGAATGATCTAGCTCATTCTCTCTTGTTGATACCTAATAGTTCAAGAGTTTTTCCTCTCTCGATCAGGTATGTTTCTCTAGCTTTTCGTACATTGCACTGCAGTCTATTAGATTTAATGAGCTCTACTGAGTGGAATAAGTGTGATGTCGTTAGCAGAGTGATCATTAGTAAGAAAGTGTTCTGAGACTGTGGTGGGTTTAGAGATATTTAGATGGGTTGTCAACTGGTCTGTGGTGTTTGTTGAAACTGTCTTTGAGTCGTCGTTTGGTTTCAGCTATATATTGTTTGGAGCCTAAACATTTTCACTGTATACGCAGTATACGTAATTGTAAAACTATTTGTCACCATTTTGGGTTCATTCAATGAAGGACGTCAATTTAGAATCATAAATAAAGGCTTCGTTTTCTCTCACAGATGCGTGAATTATTGTGAATTTGGTGAAGTCTCCGTACTTGGAATCCGAAATCTATAAAGCCTTCAATCCTCTATCAAGCCCCCCGGAAACTTATTTATTTCAGAATATCAGCACCGAACTCTCCAAATACATCTGGAAACTACGTGACAATAATCAAGACTTCAACATCAAATGGACTATAATCAGCCGTGCAAGACCCTACAACAACATTTCTAAACGATGCGACCTATGCTTAACAGAGAAACTAATGATCATTACTGCAAACCCCGACAGAATCCTAAATAAAAGATCAGAACTGATTTCCAAGTGCCGCCACGAAAACAAGTTTTACCTTAGGAACAAAAAACAACACTCTATTAGTTTTTCCTCACACCTAATTGTAATTAGAACCGCACTTCCCTGCTTTTTGTAATCAATAGACGCGTGTATATATATAACTTGATAGGTTTATTCTCCATTAAATACTGTCTGATGAGTGCGTGAGCACGAAACTCGGAGTAACAGAGAATTTTGTCTCTTCGTTATATCTTCTTATTTCAGAATATATAAAATGTCAGCAAGTCCACAGCAACAAACCAATGAGTGGTACCGGATCTCCCAGTTGTAGACTTGAATCAGTACAATTAAACTTGTAGAAAAATATGAAACGGCAAACTGATCCTTACGGCAAGGAGATGAAGAAGTAAACAAAAGAATAAAGCAAAAAAATATATATTTAAACAAATTGCCCAATATTTCGGTTTGAAAACAAACCTTTTTCAGGGGCTAAAAGAAAAATGAAAATAAAACTAAATGTTCGTTACAAATAAGAATTTGAAAATTGTCACATTTTCAAATCTGAACGCCTGCAACAGGTTACGACAAGGGTTAAACCTTTTTGCTTTTATTTCAACTCGCTTAACTGTGGTTGAATTCTTTAGGACTGCACCCAAGTTTGAACTGAGAAAGAAAATCAAAGAACTGATTCGTTATCAGGTGATTACATCCTCCAAACAACATCGCATAGGGTAATTTCATGTCGTGGTCGTGTACCAAAAAGCGTCTTAAAGATGCAAAATTCATTGTTGTTTTACTTTTTCAGCCTTTTGCTATTTGACGTTTTTCTCACTGCCGTCGCCGTCGTCGTTGCTAAAGCCTCCCGGATTTAAACTTTTAGGAATCCTTATATACCATAAGTTTGAACAACTGCGAAATAATCCGAATACCGGTCAATATAATAGATCCGGAATTACAATTGAGTGATTTTCATACCGATCGAACTCAATTCTCGGTAGTAAACGGCCAGCACTCAACTGTGCTAAACGTTACTTGCGGGATTGCTCAAGGATTTGTTCGATGATCGCCTAGGTACACCAATGACCTGGTAAATACTGTTCCTCATGGCTCTGTGTTTATGTACGCGGATGACGCCACCGTTTATTGCATTGAATAACGCTTTATCGGAACTGAACAGTTGGTACCTAGGAACTCTTTACCCCTTATTCTGCAAAGTATGAAGTTATGCTTTTTATAAGAAAACCGCACATCGGGTTGTAAATTCCGCGACTAATGGAGAGGATCTGAATGAGTGGGTGCAACTGGTATACTCGACATTTGGGCGTTACTATTGATGACTGGCTTTCCTAGTCACATCAACTCATAAACGTAGAAAATTAGTTTGTAAACAATCTGAACCTCTTAAAGGGGAGTTCGTTCTTAAGTAGAGATATCTTATTGGACTGGTGTTGTATAAAGATCGTCTTGCCTTCAGATGGACTGGGGGGGTTACAATAATGAGGAACAGCTAAATTCTCAGGAAGTGTTTTATGGCTGGGCAGCCAGAGAAACTCATAAGTTTTCCCGCGGCATGCCAACTGCTGGATTAAACTGCGGCAGGATTAGCTCAGTCGTTAGAGCGCTGGCTGCAGAGCGGTAGGTCGCGGGTTCGATTCCTGGGGCCAGACCAATACTCAGGGTCTGAACTGAGAAATGAAGGTACTGCCTTTGCCCTGAAGGCGGCTGGACTTTCGCGTGTCTCGGATGACCACGTAAAATGGCGGTCCCGTCTCCGTTAGGAGACGTAAAATATAGTGTCCCCAATTAGCACTTTCGTGCTAAATACATTGACACTCAAATAAACTGCTTTTTTTTTTCACTGCTGAAGTCTATCGGTATTGGAAATGAAGTGCATGAACCTAACTCTTTCATAGCGTATTCAAAGGTGGAGATCCTGCTGCACTATCGCACTTTACGAATAAACCTTGTTTGGCTTACGACCTCAGATGGAGCAACAACATTACCGTCTCTCGTTTTAACTCGTGCCTTCTTAAAAACCCAATTTACCCAGTTTACAAATTTTTATCGTAAAGTGAACAAGGACAATGATGTTAATGAACTAGATTTTGCCACACAGTCAGTCCATTCGATGTCCAGACACGACCATGATTTTAAGTGCTATTAACCTTTTTTGTTGTTTTTAAATGCTGTTAGTCAATTACTTAAAGTGATAAATGTAAATTCTTTTTTTTTTCCTTTTTTTTTACAATTTGTATCCTTCCTAATTCTTAGCGGAGCTCCACGCACGCGAAGCGCGCGCAGCGAATCACCATGGTAAGAAAATTTGGTAATTTATCTATCCGAGAAATTTTGGTAATTACGTGGCCGTACGCCCACCCAACCGTCCGTCCACACCACTGGTGCACCAATGTAAAATAACTCAACCAACAGGTATGGCAACCCAATTGCAACTCGAGATTATTTTGGTGAGAAATCGCAAAGCCACCCGCGTCTTGTGAAGCAGAGACAACTAAAGAGTCAATAAAGACGAAAGCGGAAATTGTTTCTGTATCCGTGTTGTCTAAACTATTAAGCTTAGATTAATTGTCATGTCTACAACTTCGGAATATAGAGAAAAAAAAGGGGGCGACAGGCCAGCGAAGCTCAACGAGAAAAAGAGCGACAGAGAGCTAGAGCGGGAGATAAGGAGCCATTTGTTGGAAGAACAACATGAAAATTTTGTAGCGGTGTGAAAATGAGAAATCCTAGCGGCCACCAAGATGAAAATGAGCGGCAGTGAAAAAAACGTGAACAAAGACAGGTACGACATTTCCTCCACAAAACGTGTAACTAGGAGGTTTCTGGAAGTTTCACGTTGTAGTCGCGCAAAACAATTAGACCTATTGTTGTCTTTTCACCGTTCTCGTTGACTTCGCCGCTTAGCATAACATGATTATATATTTTGTTTGAGCAAACTATGAATATAATCGAGAGCTTCGAATTCGCTTTTAGCCATGGCTAAATCTATATCAGTTATCTAATTTTATTCTTAAGAGATTTATTGTAGTTCCACTTGTACTAAAGGCGTCTATATACCGTCAATAACACAGCCTCTAAGCCATTTAATTACTGAATAGTATTATTTGTTCAAAAGTGATATCCGACTTCTGAAAACGAGCTGAGATCGTACCGCATCACAAAAAAGGAAGCGCAACTAGCCCAATCACAGCCTTTTTTTTGCCCACATTCAAGATCAAGTTAAACATATTCGACATCAACTACTGGCTGATCAATTTAAAAAGATATTTCATAAGTACATGTTCGGGTACAGAGGATATCACGGTTGCCCTACAGCACTTTTCACACTTACTGAACAATGGACGGAAGATCTCGACAAACACAATATCATTGGCGCGATAGCCACTGATTCGAGCAAGAACAAGGCTTTTGATTGTTTACCACACGATCTTATCTTAGAGAATATAAAATACTACGGCCTTAGTGATCATCCGTTATCTCTAATGCGTAGCTATCTCTCTCCTCTTCATCAAAGAGTAAAGTTTAATGCTGCTTTCTCCACATGGACAAAGGTGTCAAGAGGGATCCCACAAAAGGCGAAAAATGCCCTGTTACAAATCACATAGAAGATGGAACTTGAGCAGAAATGTTCGAGACTGAGATCTTTTGTTAGTATCAATGTACTTAAGATTTGCTTTTCGTGTTTGCATTTTTTTACATTTTGTTATCTTAGCTGGGCCACACTTTGCGATGTCGCATTTTCTGATTATCGTGACTCTATTTTGTTTCATGTCGGTTCTAGCGCATTCGAAATTTCCACAAAATTAGTAGTCATTGTGGCACAAAGATGTGGGCAAAGATATACAATAGTGCGATAATAAGAGTAATAATAAGGAAGATGATGATGATGATGATATTGATTGTCCGATATGATAGTGATTGTGGCACCTTGTTGTGCTCGATGTTTGTGTTTTTTGGTTCTATGAAATATTATTATAGCGCTTATTTATGGCAGTAAACACTAAAATCTCGTTATATCTCTGGTCATATCCTCGATCGCAGGTAATGAAACCGGGTTTCTTCGTTGCCCGTGCTACTAGAAAACTTTTCAGTCAAGGAGACCTTACTTTTAGGGAAAACCAGATAATACAGATAGCAGCTAAATTTCATTACAAAATTCCATCACAGCGGACCATCTCATGGTCTCGAGGTTGTCCGCATAGAAAGAGTTTTACTCTCCTGCAAAGATCTTAAAGCCGGAAGGCCGCAGTTGATGTGAACACTTTCTTTCGCCCCCACTTGAGAAATTGGAGCTGAAAACCGTTCAGTGGAATGCTATAATAATTAATAATAATAATAATCGTTATTATTATTTATTATCGTTGTTGTTGTTGTTGTTGATGGTGATACTTATTATTGGGTTTACTTGTCCTCCGACCATACATTTCAAGTTTATTACAAAGTGCGCGACGATTATTACAAAGTGGGAAAGAAGATTTTTCATTTTTCTTATATAGTCCTCATTGAAGGTTTGTGTTGCAAACCGAAATTCGGGCAAATAAAATTCACCACTTCATTTTTTTTTCCTTTCTATATATTTTTTTTAAGGATCAGTTTACTGTTTTAAGTTAAAAATTTGGTACTCAAGATTTTACTGATCCAGGTCTACTAAAGATCCGGCGGACTCTCACTGGTTTATCGTTTTGGTTTTGCCTTCACAAGTGTTTCTGAATTGAATATATAAAAACACCTGAAATTATGATTGCAGCCTTTTTCTCCGCTGCTTCATTTCTGAAAGAGCTCCTCGCGCCAAAATGGCAAAAAGATGTTCATTCGGTAACCCAGAGGCGGTTTCAGCTTTACAGGAAGCGAAAAGGCTTTCTTGTGCAGAGCCTGCTACATGAGAAAAGAAAACAACATATCCTCCTTGTGCTTGAAATGTGCAGAGAAGAAAGCAAAACTTCTTTCCATAATTATGAAATATGTGAAGTTTGCGACGTGAAAATGCAAGTCTTTTCTTCTGAAGTTGAAACGTTTTGCCCACAATGCGGCTTCACAACCCTTCATGAGAAAAAAATAAAAGAAACAAAACATTATTTTTTACTCAGAAGGATAAAACAATTTTTATAACTCAAAGGTTTGAATTTTGATGTAATGTTGATTTCACAGGTTGTGGTGGTTTACAATGCTGTAAATGAATTTGCCGATTCTGACAAAGAAAAATGTATCGTTACATTCCAATACAGTGAAACCCCGCCTTACGGCCGCCTCGGTAACACGGTCACCTCGTTATTACGGCCACCTTTTTTCGGCCTGGTAGAACGGTCATACATTTTTTTATAA